ACGGGGACTAAGAGATCTCCACGGTTCAGAGCACACACAGTGGCTGCCACCAGTTTAGCCAAAGCTGGAGTAAAATGATATGCTTCCAAAATTATATCTTTCACTATGTATCTGATTAATGTATGTATCATTATCCACTGCAATAAGGCCAAAGAAAATTAACTGCTAGTTCCACATCCCCATCCTTAACAAATTTGGGAGGCTCACAAAAAATTACTATTTGCTATTAAAAAAAAAAAAAATACTTTTTTGCATGGGCAATAAAATTAATCATGATCTAAAGGATTGAGACCAAAGTCCAAGCACAGATGGAAATATAAATCAAACCAAAGGCTGCTTCTTTTATTAAAAAAACAAAAAAACAAACAAACCAACAATTTTGTTATATACCAAAGGATAGTAATTAGCAAATACCCTCAAGGACATGAAACTAATAATAAATTTTATTTGGCCTAAAACTTTGGCCTAAAACAAACAGTTCAAGAACATTTAAGAATAAAAATCTAAAAAACATTAAGATAGTAGTAAGTAGTCTTAGAAATGCGATTTTTATTTATTGGATAATTTATTATTAGGTAATTTCTTACTATCTTGTAGGTGATCAGAGTATATAAAAAGATCAAAGAATATTGCCTACCATGAACCTTGACTAACATTCTTTTGAAGTCCCTCCAATCCTTTCTATTGCTTTATTTCTATATTTAGGTTGCTTGAGATTAATAAACCATAAATCCTAAACACTCCAAGATCAAAGCGATTTAACTTCAATGGGAATTTTAAGTCGCTGTGAAGTGTGATTAGCTGGCCTATGTACACACATATGCTTGAATTGTGGTTCTCCACACAATTGCAAACAAAATGAACATCAAATAGAAAGTAAACTGTAACTTCCAAAACCAAACAAATGCTTTTTACCCCCTTCTTTTGTGAGGTGAAAGCTTTTGTTGTAAGGTAACTAGGCCAGCTTGGTGTAAGTTTAAGATACATTCAAACACACTGACGTAGTCCTCAGGACTATAAGTTGATCAGTGCATTCCTAAATTGTTTGGTCAAAAACTTAAGTAATTCAGCTGCCAGTATTTTGGTACTTAACTAACAAGTAAACTTGACTAGTACTGTTTAATAAAGCTCATATACAAAGTCATTCCCTATTTAAAGATAAGGTTAGTGATAAGTACTTTGGTCTTCAATAAGTGTTCTCCTGGAAAAGCTCTTTAGGCTTAAGCCGCAATAGCACTGGATTTAAAAAAGGGAAGATTTTACCTAGACCGTGGGTACATTCCAATCAGTAAATCTTCCTGTTGTTTGAAGTGGTTAGTCTTACCACCTTCCATGGTTAAACTAACCAAGTCGCAAACATAAACTATTGGGGGTGCTAAATTGTGACATTTACTTGCTCTTCGTCTCCCATCGATTGTATGCATAACAACCGAAAGCATGCAACATTTCTTAAGTTTTTTGAAAATACGTATCCCGCTGCCGATGACCAAGCCTACAGTAGTACAGTATTACGAAGGCCCATCAGATTACTTATTTCATATAAATCGGTCATTTATGCTGCGATAAAGCAAGCAGCAGAAAAAAGAACTAGAAGACATTTTAGTACATAGTAAACCATCTAAAATAAGTTTATCTGAGTCGTAAATTCGCATTGGACTTTTCTGCTTGGTAAAACTAGCCTGGTTAGTTTTCAGGTCAAACGGGAGACGGTTAAACTAACCACACGACTAGAGTAAGTTTCCTGAGTGGTAAACTTCCTATGCTGTGCACACTAAATTTATGGTTAAACTATCCATCGGGTCAGTTAGTATTACTGAAATAAGTCCAGTGCGTTTGCGGCGTTATTCTATGTTAAAAAACTCTTCAAAAAAGTCTTCTCCAGGTAGAACTGTGGTCTTTAATATAACCATGGTGTCACTAGCTATATATTCATGGGTTTTATTGCCACAAGGTCAAATAATTTCGATAAAAATACATTCGCTCTTATCCTGAACATTTGAATAAAAAAAATATTAATAAAATCATTGTTATATTTATTGAATTTTAACATTAAATAAGCCCCTTTGAAAATTAGTAATACATTTAAAGTGCTTTTCAGGATAAATAAATAAAAGCCTTAGTAAATGTTCCTAATCAAACCTAATCAAATTTTCACCCATTAGATTTTACAATGTTGAATAATTGACATAAAAACATTCATTCTTATGCTGAATATTTGAATAAAAATATTAATAAAATTGTTTTTTAACATTAAATTAACCCCTGTAAAAATTAGTAATTTAAAGAGCATTTTTACCCCATTAGATTTTACATGAACTGAAAGAAACAGTCAAAAACGCATGTACACAGTAAACACTAGTATCTTCATCTACCAGCAATTTAATTTTGTACAACAGTTGAAATATTTCATACAGTAATGGCAGTATTGTAAGTTGAATGCGTACATAAATCATTCAAAAATTTACAATCACTACCACCAAGAGGGGGAGGGGTCAGGTTGGGCGGGCCCAAGACAAAAAAATATCAATAACATGGAAATCAATATATTGACCTACTATTTAAAATGTCTGTAATCGTTTGAATAGGAAATGCTGGACCTTTGGGCGAGGCTCCCAAACCCTCACCATGTGCTCTAACCCTGGCCTAGCTATGTGTCTCAGCGGGCCCCAACACTTCCAATTTTAAGGCCCAGTAGGTATGCTGCCCCGGGGCACAGGCCGTACTTGGCTGTCCTGTATACAATGTTATAAAAAGCATCTTCCTTGCTAAATTCATTACGTTTTAAATAATTTAATATCCACATTTCCAAAACCACTTAATGCATGACTTTGGGGTTTGTTTATTGTAATCATATACAAAAGCCAAGATGTTTGTGATGTCATAGCTTTTAATATGTCAGCTATGCAAGGCTGTGCAAGGCAAACTGCTAAAAAATATATCTGGATACCAAAACCAATGCACCATGGTGTGATAACCTATTTTTCATGAGTTATCTCTAAATATACGTATCGTAATTTAAGCCATTTTAATCCTACAGTATACACCTTTTGATTCACAATTTACAGAAGAAACTCCCCATACAAGACTTGAGAGGCCAATTATGCACATAGCTCATTGGCTTAGTCTTTTCAATTACTGTACATCTTTTAGCAGTAAAGTGCATAAAGACTTGGTATTTTGTGAAATAGAAAAAGTAAACCATTAACCAGTTTACTTTAACCATTAATCACTGCAGAGTGTATGAGGGTATCATATTACCACAGTAATTACTGTTGATGTACAAAATCTAAAAACAGACGTCATTTTCTATTAAATAATATAAATATATGTCCTTTTAACCTTTATCTACATTAGCAAATTCTATGTGATGTCATATGGATATGACATCATTTCCATTTATAATAATAATAATAATAATAATAATAATAATAATAATAATAATAATAATAATAATAATAATAATAATGGTGGATATTTATAAGGTGCCGGTATCCGCATGGTGCGCTCGTGTTGCCAGAGCCAAGCAAGACAGAAAAAATATGAGAGTAAGCATTGGCTTATTTTTTGTGTTCTTGTGATCTTGCCAGAACTTTTTAATTTTTTCTGTTTTTGCTGTTATTTTAACATTTTTGCTCTATTCAATTTTTAACTTTCTTCTTGTTGAATTTTATCTCTCTGAGGATGAATAAATGTTTTGAACCTTGAATCTCGAATTTCTTGAAAAATTAAGAAAGATAATATCGCAAGAACGAGGAGAATTAACTTGGGAAGTGCTGGTCAAATAGATGTCTGTAATATGGCATGTCATCATACCCATATATGGCCAATTTAAACAAATTCGTCATTATAATAATTTATCTTAAAGATAGGCTTACTTTCTGTGATCAGTAGTGAGAAGCTTTGTGTTGTGCCTTTTTTTATGAACCCACATAGTTACTGGTACATGGAATGGAGCCAAACTATGGAGTGAAGTGAATTTGCCTATATTCATCTCATTCTATACATTTTATCAACCTGGAATCTATCCTTATTTATTAAAGAAGAAAAATTAATGATGTGTACAATTACAATAAATATTATGCATCTGTACATACATCAAGTAAGTTTTAAATACTGTGAAAATAAAAATAAAGAAGATAATAAAATGCCTTAATTTACATAACTAGTGTTGTTTAGGACCAAACCACTATGAAGGTTTTACAGTAAGTTCTTAGAATTCAATTGCAGAATATTACTGGTATTGTAATTGTGTATTCTGTCTCTTGTATGTCAAAATGTGAGACCATGTTCATGTACTGTAGATCTATTCCAACCCTTAAAATAAATTCTACCATGATATGAATTCACCCTTAAACTAAATATGACACTATTATAGGTCAAAATTTTTCAACAGAGTACTTATACATACAGTACTTTTTTTCTCTAATCCCCACACCCCCTCCTCCTTCACCCAATCTCTGAAAAGGGTACATAATAAAGAAGTCATTTGAGATCATCATTTTAATTTATCATTTTATTTTCATTTTCATAAGAGTTCATACATTGTCGGGGTAATGCCAGTAGATGGAGAGCCTCCCCCCTCCCCAACCATGCATCAGGGAAAACAAATATATAATAATTTATCAATTGTGCAAATTCCATAAAGAAAAATATGTTTTAATATGTATTAACATTAGCAAACTCCAAAATCACCCACTAGACCAATTACAAATGATTTTGAGCAGTGCCTGACCACGCCAACTTATCCTCTCGTCGAGGACATCACCAAATTTATGCCTAGCTTGCAACCTCAAAAAACATTTTGAAGGATGTATTAGTTCCTGACTTAATGTGTATCCCTTAACAATCAAGATAGTTCTATCCATGATCAATAAAATACTATACATGTCAGCATTACAATTTATTAATATGAAAAGAAATACATTGTTTACCGCGACAAGTTAACATTCTGACATTTTAATAATATTTATTTTGGGCTACCTAATTATAGAACCTCTTACCTCAGAAGTGCTTGTATTGAGTCCTGGTCCAGAAAATCGTGATCATGTTCGACAGACGTCAGATCAATCGGGAACATTGACTCTGCAACAAGAACATCATCCAAATGAGACATGAAGAAATAAATAGCAGAATTTGCTTATTACCCATCCAATTGAATCAAGCCAGTGAAACTAAATGAACTGAGCTGTGCAGTTAAAGTGAATAATAATTTTTATATGGCCTGACTGGTGATCCATCACAAAGCCAAGCCTTTTGCATGCTATTTACATTCTTAATCGGTGAACACAGTAGTTTAAGTCCCATGCATCATTGGGCAGGCTTTTCAATACCTTATCATCGGTCACAGTACTGCACTCACAATAAATACAATTGAAAATTATTTTGTAAAACCTTTAAAATTTATGATGGTTATCACTACTCTATATCTATTCAACCTCTGCAAGTCTATTATTTGTTCACAAGTTTTTCAATAGCCTGTGCCCTTTGCTATTTTTTCTGTTTTCTTTTCCTTATATATTTGGTTTTTTCTTCCTTTTATGGAGTAATACTTTAGAGAGAATTTTTTGATATTGATGATTTCTAACCAAATTTATATTTTAACTAACATTCACATTTATCTCAATTCTGAATGAATGGTTTAATCCACAAGTTTTTAATAGTGCCCTGAAAGTGATTTTAATTGTAGAGAAGGCACTTTAGAAATATAACATATCCAATACAGTAACAATTGCATCAATGCTGATGCATTGATAATCAAGTAAAACATGCTTGAGATAATACAAACAATATCTACTAACTATTTAATTTAAAAAAATGAAGGAAAAAAAATTTTAATATTTTTTTAATTTTTTTTTTAAAATATATATTTTTTCAGTACTATAGAAGACATGTGCGCGAGGGTGATAAACTAATAATTTTTTTATTGGGCCTTATATTCTGCTTATCTAAAGGAACCACTTCTATAAGATTAAAAAATGGATTTTATGCATGTGTGTAAAATGGACTCATGCAAGTGTGTATCTGTGTGAATTCCAGTCCACCACTAATAATGCTATAAAAGTTACACCAGAAGCTATAAAAATGGGTATTGGACAGAAAATCTTTTAACATCTGGGCCTCTTTATAGCCATTGCTTAACATTATTTTACCATACAGTCTGTGATTTTACATACCCAATCAATTCCTTCATCATGCTTATAGTTACCAGGATGTGGCTGGCCTAAAGATTGAAAATCTTAACAAATATGTGGTAATAATCCAGTGGGTGGATGTCTATTAGCAAAAACAACCCACAGATCATCAGACCAAAACACACCACAAAAACAGGAAGTCCCCAACAACCTTTCCAAAAATGAAGAACTGACTCAAAAGGGTGTGTTTCTATTGAGAAAACATTTTGTTTTAATTAGTTCCAATATTGGACTTACTGTAAATAAACCAGTGTATACAATGGCTCGTGTGCACTATAAAGAACCCAGTACATCCTTCGAGACAAGTAGGGGGATACCCCGGTGTACTGGAACAGACAGCCCCTGTGGTGGATGACGAGAGTTGCTGGTCCCGGTTACTGGTTAGCACAGACATGAAGGGACCCTTAGGGGCGAAGAAAGTCACTGATCGAGTTCCTAGTCCACATATCAAGCACCCTGAGCATATTACATTAGATGGATATGTGCGCTATATAAAACTACACTATTATTATTATTATTATTATTAATATGCTTTATTGCAAGTCTATAACAACAATTATGTGGTTCCAAACCGGAAAAAATAATCTTGACTCCAGCATCAAATGTTATCTGTACACTATGTAACCTTTTAATTATTAATATTAGAACAAAGGAAAAAAATCATAAATCATGTAGGTCAATCTAAGGTCAACTAATAGTTGTGGCTCCTTTCCATACAAAATAAATATACTTCTGAAATAATAATAATAATAATAATAATAATAATAATAATAATAATAATAATAATAATAATAATATTAATAATCTATATTTTACTAAGGGAAAACATTAGTTAACAAAAGTTGTTCTTCTACAAGTCAATGTAGGAAAGAATACACACACACACACACAAAAATCAAAATTAACAAACTGGAAAGCAAGTTAAAAACTACCTAACTACTTAAAACATAATACATTTATACAAAATATTTTCTAACCAGGACCCTCTAGAAACCCAGCCACTCTACCATGGATCACAACCCAGACACTTTCAGAACTGAAATGTTACAAAATGTCCAGCCTGCGAAACATTTCAATGGTAACTATATCAATTATCATTTTTCCCTTAAAACAACACTGTCATACCCCAGAGGTGTATCTGTCTGTGACTGATTAATAAAATAGGCCAATCCACCATTAAATATTTTCTTCTTACCTTCAAACTTAACACCATGTGGAACAGACACATGGTGATTACTTTACATCACTGATAGCAAGCAAGTGCATTAATATTATCCAAAATGATAGATATATTATATCCTAACCTGTAGAAACCTAATTGAGTTTATAATTCACAGAACTCCACGGAACTCGGAGCATGGCGGATAATAGTGGCACATGATTTCTGTAAAACCTTCTCCAGATGTGGTCAAACTGTCATCATGAGTATGTTAAACTCTACTGGTATGCTGTATATTAAATCCTAGAAGAGTTTCTCCTTATCCACAGGATCAGTGCTTAATATCAAAGGGATTCCTTCCCAATGATTGGGCATGATGGTGCCTCATTGCAGTATAATCACCATGGGAACAACCACCTTCTACCAATCAAAACCAAGGACATCTGGAAGAACTTGAGACTAAGCTCCACCCTAGGCTGTTACTTTCTCACTCAAATAAGAACCTTGGGATATCAATATAAATGAAACTATTTTCACCTAAAACTAACTTTTTCACATTCTTGAATATTTTAAATCCTAGAACAGAATACCAGAAACTGTAAAATATACATCTATCACTGTCCAATTAATGATTTGAGAAATAACAATCAATTAAAAAAGCTACTTTATTAATAACAAGGAGGTATAAAAATAAATATTTTTATACCTCCTTGTTAATAACATGCACTATGTCTGAGATAAAGGTCATAGTTCACTCTATTTGAATTATTATCACATGATAATTTTAGTGAGCCTACAGGTTGAATGGTGTTCACCTGGTTTCTTAACAGGATGACTGCTGGAAAAAATTAGTCTGTCAGATCATGGAGGTATAAATACCTCCATGGTCAGATAATAATACAGATTAACTAAAAAGTATAGTACAGTAGATATTCAAGAATATGTTGAGCACTGTACATATGTACTCTAAAAATGAGAAATTATGAACTTTTAAAACAATGAAAGAATTGTATGAAAACATCGATAATGTAAATTAATTTCATGACAACGGTTCAGCTATCATGAATGCAGTGGTCCCAAGTTGGGAGAAGTCACTTCCAGGAGAACTGGTTGAGTGAGCTTTCCTTAACACATTTAATTTAATGTTGGTGCGCACAGTATATATCCATCAGCACTGACTTCTGTGGGACAATTGATAATAAATTAGTCAAAACATGCAAATATGAATTTGCGAAAGATGGGCTATTTTCCAGAAGATTCTTACTTGTTTGCAGGAGTGTGGGCAGTTGTCCCAATTTCCAGGAGACTCCCCCCCCCCCATTTGCAGGGAACTTTGGACATCTGTGTATGTCGACGTAATGACTTATCTGATCGCATATTGAATAAGATCTTTTAACTTAAATAATAATAATAATAATAATAGTTTTCCATTACTTATTTATCAAAACTACATTTTGATGTTTAACTTAAGACAGTCACTTTAAATGGCCTTCCATGAATCATCTGCACTCCCTTATCTGTCAATCAAACCTGCCTAGCCTAGCTTGACCCTATAGTTCCATGCATGACCTATACACTGTAATCCTAGAAAAGTGATACATGCTGTTAAATGCAAGAAACACTCAACAAACATGCAAACCAATTCACAAATGTAACAAAAGTATTGCAAAGCTAATCCCATAGAAAAAGCATGCATTACTCATTTACTTGCTTAAAAAATACAATCCTAGCTCATATTAGAAATATTAATGCATTAATTATAACTGGCTATGTTAATTGCCTTTCAACATACTTAAGATTACTGTATATAACTGCATCTAGCACAGATGTAGACCAGGGAGTTCTCCCTGTGCAGACAGTATGAAGTAAATCCATTGATAATGTGCATAATTGACAGGTCTCAAAATTGCTATCACTTGTTCAAAGAGGATTTTCAAGCAATATTTTTTGTTGTATATACACAGCATATGATGGGAGGTGGTTGGACAAATGTTCCTTAAAAGAGAAATAAAAGATACCATTTCTTTTGATTGATGGAGGGGGTAAAGAAAAAAATTTGTCATAAAAACTAGTACCTGATTCACACATTGGCCCATGGTGATAGATAATTTTCAATAATACGCTCCTCCCAAACTATAACCATCAGTCAATTGGCACTGCTTTGGGCAAATATCCACACAAAGCACAAAACGATTCATTACTGAGAACTGCAGTCGAGACAGAGTAAGGGCCTTTTTCTACTGACGAGAAAGAACCTTTCTTTTTAAGAACGGTTCTTAGTGGCAGTACAAATTGTGACCAAAAAAAGAACCGTTCTTTGTGGTGTCCCAAAAAACTGATTGTTTGGGACACGATCAACGTGCCAGAATGCCAAAGAACCATTGTTCGTACAAAAGAACCATTCTTCATGGGGTGGTTTTTAGCTGCAACATTATAGCCACCTAATTTGACCCAATTCCACTTGGCCAGAAGGCTGCCTATGCTTAGTTCTAGTAGAATTGTTGAAAAGGATGGAATTTAGAATTAACCTTTATCAGTCTCTTTTTGGACATATTCTTAATTAAGTTCTTCAATAATGATCAGAAATTTCTGACCTGTTCCACCACATCAGTGCACTGAAAGACAAACAATATTTTATAATTCATTATCTGGGGGAATCAGTAAAACAAATGTAAATGTAAAACTGTTCTTAGTACATGTTTGAATACAGACACGAGCTACTGTATTATTCAGAATAGCTCTAAAAAGATGAATTTGAAATAATTGTACAAATGTTTAGATTTGAAAGCAGCAACGTCAAAATCATTGTCGCAGTAAGTAATTAATAAGTTAGAACGAGATGAACTTGTATTTTTAGCGCTAGGTCCTCCATGCTCGGTACATCCCA